TTTGATATGTGTACATGGGGACTTTTTCTTCCAATAAAGAAATATCCCTGGCTTGTGTGGCTCAGAAAATTAAGTGCTGATCTGAGAACCAAAGAGTCTCTGGTTCCATTCCCAGTGAGGGCACATGCATGGGTTGCAGAGCAGGTCTTCGGTTGGGGGCATGCAAGAGACAACCACTCATTGATGTTTCTCCCCCTCTCTTTCTCTCTCTTTTCCTCTTCTTTTAAAAATAAGTCAATATATATTTTTAAAGTACCCCTTTATAGAAAAAGAACAAAATAATTACTATGCTCTACTTATATATACATGTTTTATTATTAAAATGCAGCTTTGGAAGTTATATAAAAATCTCCAAGAATCTATGAAGTTCAGATATAATTTCATTTGTAATGTTAATATATCTTGAAATGTTTCTACAGAAAATGTCTTTGTCAATTGCAGAATAATCAGATCTTTAATGATGTCATTTCAAGTATTTTTTTGTTGTTGTTGTTTTCAATCAAGTTTCTGTGGCTTAGGGACAGTCATTTTTTTGTTCTTGAGGCAATCACAAATTTGTTGCATCTTCAGAAAGTTCCAAGGAAAGAAAATGACATATTCTAGATACTGTATTTCTGAGAATAAATTTTCAGATTGGATTTTTTGAATGAGATAAAGATTATTCAAACTTCACGGAATAACTGATTCTATAGAAACATCGTCAAATAGTAAACACAATCAAATTTGATTATGGGGGAGAATGAACTAAAGGTCACGGTAGTTTTGTTCCTTCTGGTGAAAATATTACTAATTTTTAATACTTCTGATTAACAGACAAAAGAAAACTTGCATTTTTCTTAAACCAGTTTGGTAAACTATAGTTGAATAAGCAATATTGAGGCATTGATATTTTTCTACTACTTTGATCTCCCTAGAATTGAGAAAGAGCCTGGTAACGTGCTTATTTAGAAGATTCATGGAAATCTTCCCAGGCAAGGTTGTTTTCCTGAGAGATGGCAAGGGACAACCACAAGTTTGGGAGGGCCCCAAGAACTTAAGGAACTCACCAAAAGTTTTAAATATAGTAGGCAAAGCCTCACAGCAAACACGTGGCTTGGCTTCAATGCCCCATGAAATAATTAAAGCTCAATTTTATAATTCCTTGTAAGTTTTCTGTAAAGCATGTTTAAGAGCCTACACAGTCAATTGTTTTTCCTCTTATGACTGTGCCAGTTACCAGGCCACATGGAAACTCAAATTAACCCACTAAGTGAATAAGTCTTAGTTTGGCTTTTTGATAAAAATGAAGGTCATTCTACATACAGAAATTATGTTTCAATAGGCTCTGTACCACACAGTTATAGACAATAAACTCTACTTCAGTGAAATGTCTTCCAGACTTTATCTTTCAATTATGAACAGAATTGGATCGTAAATTTTTCTGGCTTCTTATTTAATATTGATATTAGTAACACAATCTGACTCTTCCAGGTTACAAGTCTACTCCTAACCGGGGGATGCAAACCTTAGACACCATTGCCACCCTCTTCTGTGCCCAGGCCTCCCCTCCCCTCTGACTGAGAAAAAGTGTGTTTGGCTCTGAAGGAAATTGAAAACACTCTTCAGCCGGAAGGAGTTGCAGAGAAGATCCAGCACCCTATAGCATAAAAGGATTCAAATCCAAAACTCGAGTGGGAAATAGAGAAAATCAGAGCAAGAACGAAAGCCCAGGTATGAATTTTGCCAAAGCAGAATGCTGAGGTGTCTAGAAGCAGGCATATGGAAAATATATAAACATAGAAAGGCACAGAGGCAGATGATGAACAGTGATTGAGACTCAGACAATGGAGGAGGGGACTGGGGATCCTGTACACACCTCACAACCAATCCGTTTTTCCACACAGGAGACAAAGATACACCCGGGAAGCGTGCATTTCCTATCAAACAAAAAAGTGTGTATAAAAACTGACTTGTTCATAGGGGTAATGAGACAAGTGCTGCAAAATGCCTATCTCAAGTCGCAAGAATGTGTTACTTGCCTGAATGTGCCATCCTTCTGTTAGAACGGGGTTTGTTCTGCAAATTACTGACCAAGTAACACATTTTTCTAAAGGTGGAAGCTTTCTCTCAGGTCTCACTGCCACATGTACTCCAATGCCAAATGATTTAACCAGTTCAGGGGAACCCAGAGGAGAACAGTTTCCTCCTGAGACCCACAAGGAAGAAATTAAAACAATTTTGGCAGGAAACACTCCAGAGCAATCAATTAACATTCACTCAAATGGCATGAGATCTCCTGGAGAAATCTCAGATGATGAATATTTTCTTAGATGGACTCTATGACTCTGGTGGGGAGCAGCTGCACATCAGCATGTACTTCAGATTCTCTCCAAGACTGTAACCATCATAGCCAATAAAACTGACACTTCATCTGTTACTAGGAAGAAGTTTCATGACTTTCTAGCTAAAGTTCTTAGGTAATCAGATTGCCTTAGACTACATACCAGGAAAACCAGCAGCAGTTTATATGACCATCAAATTCTCTGGTGGTTCTTACATTGACACCTCAGCTCAGAGGGAAACCAGCGTCTCCAAAACCACTCCCGGACTACCTGGCATCAACAAATATTAGATAGCCACACCCCGCTGTATGAATGAATTTCAGATTGGTTTCTGAGTCTATTTTTATCCCTGCCCCAGGAACTCTGGTCCAAATAGGGAAATTTTTAATTTACGTTTAAACATTCTTCTCTTTATAATGGTTTTGTTTGTTTTTCCAAAGATCTGTATGACTTGCTCTTCCTGATCGGTGCTGCAAATTGTGTGCCATCCTGAAAAGCAAATGATTGCCATTTCGATTCCCAGTCAAGGCACATGTCTGGGTTGTGGTCCAGGTCTCCCATAGGGGAAACAGAATAGGCAAACACGAACTGATATTACTCCTCTCTCTCCCCCTTATTTCATCTATCTCTGAAATTAAGTAACATCATTTAAAAAAAAGGATCTCTATGACTTGTTTTTCCCATGCCAGAAAAGTACTATCTGCTCTGTAATGACCTCTACAATATGCATCTGCTTTTGACTCACAAGATTTTGTTTTCAACAGACTCAGGTTTTCCCTTCTTTCAGAAGCTTCAAACAATATCAATAGCTCTATAGATATGGAGGAAGAATAGACAGTGCAGAATTGGAACATGACATAAGCATTTAATTCTGCTATGATGAAAGAGAATTAAATAAGTTGTATGAACCAACTCATAAAAACTCACATGTTGACAGTTTTGTTTTTGTTTTTTTAGAACCTACAGCAATTTTTGCCAGTACCAGTACCACTGTATAAAAAACAACCTTGACCACAGGTCAGGCTGACAAAGATGCCACAATACAGACATTTACCTGGCACCAAACAATTCTAGAATGAAGACAGTGAAGGTCCATGGTGGGACAAGCCAGACACTACATGCATGTCTACAGCCTCACCCTATGATCTCTTTGTGTTTTTGTCACTCTAGCTTCCTATAAAAAACACGCAGTGAGAGATGTTAATGTCTTTTGAGATGAGAGTGTTTCATCTTCCGGAGGAAAAAAAAAAAAGAATCCCCATCCCATCAGCTCCTGACTGTCAAGTATTTGCCCCTCAAACTTCCAGTATACTGAGCAGCATTTGACTACATTTCATGGTTCCTCGTGGTGGGGGTCCTCTTCCTGGATCACATCTGACAATTCCATCTCCATCCTCACAATGAGGAAGGATAAGAAAACACTCTGGGCTCATTGAGGAAGGGAGTAACCCTTTCATGGGGCCCTCCCTCAACGTAATCATTCACCACAGCCTAATTTTTTAAATACTGTTTCCTTAAGGATGGAGAATTAAACAGGTAAACTTTGGGGGACACAAGTATTCATGCCACAGTGCAGACCTACAGCCTCTCAAGTAAGGGTCGTCCTCCACCACAATGACCTCTGTCCACTAAAGGGATTTCATGCTCCGAACTACAGATTTACAGGGATATATGTGTGCATATTGCAGCCCCTGGTCTTCCATATATTATAACATTGTCATAAGAACTTTGAATGGACTGGATGTAGTCTCCCATTGCCAAGGATGTTCCCACCCTGCTCTCACATATGTGACGAACAGTAGTACGAGCCCAGGGACACATGTAGAGCTGTGGTCTCAGGTTAGGAGACCCCTTAGTGAGGACTGACAGAATCCTGTGATGTTTTAGGCTGCACTGGAACCTGGAGCGTCTGTCATCCCTGACTTTGCTGCCAGAACATCATCACTGTGACGATTGACCAGAGACAAGGACATAGAATTTCATCCTTGTCTTCCATGTACTTACATTTCCCCAAGCACACTTCCATCCTTAAGAAATAAGGGATGCCATAGACCTTTCCAGAGAGTCACTACAGTCCGATTCCCAACACCTGATCCTGACCAAGATTCCTAGATTACATATCCATGAACATCTCTCATTCAGAGGGAAGGAGGCCTCCCATGTGACCCTTGAACAAATCACAGTAAATAACTGGGGTCCTTCCAGAGGCATCTTCCTTGCCTTTTCTTGCAGTATATCTGGTCTCTTGACACATTCCGCTCAATTTCTGATGTCCCCCTGGCAACATCAGTCCTGGGCTTAGTTCCTTGACTATGTGTGAGAAAGTGAGGGTGACCATCGCCCTGTCATCTCCTCAGCCAAGTCCAACCATCCCACTTCCTAGGGTGTGTGACACACTCAGGAGCAGGGTCATCACACTGAGAATCTTGCACAGTAACCTGCGTCCGAGGACCCCAGATGATTAATCTGGAGATCAGTGATTGTGACAGGGGTGTCCAGGAAGAACAAATAGCATTCTGAGCAGCCTGGGGCTAAGTGGGATTAGCAGTGTTTGTGTTGATCCAGCCCATATATTCTAGGCTCTCTCCTGGGGCTTTTAACAGAGCATAACTTGTGGAGGTGAATCCAGAAGCCTTGAAGGAGACCTGGTCTGAGGTCACAGGATTCCTCCCTTCAGCCCTAGATGACACTTACTGCACCTGGGAGTGGAAACCTGTGGAGAGGAGGCAGGAATGGATGGAAATTCCCCCTTACAACCCCTGGTGCCCCCCTTGACAGAGGAGAAAAGGAGCCCCTTACCTGTAGCCACTGCCACCAGTTACGGGGCTCTCCAGCATGACTTCACGGTGACCAGCTTTGCCATCATGACTTCTGTAGGGAAGAAGTGGCTGTGGATGATGCTTTCAGGGCACAGGCACCCATATTTAGTGAAGTCAACCTCTTCTCCTTTGCAGAGTCATAATGAAAACTCCTTCCTACCTGGTTATCTGACTCCGTCTTGGAGAAAATAGAGGACACAGGGAACATGATCCATGGGATAATCAGGGTTCAAGTTTGAATCAGTGTTACCTGATGTGTGCCCCCTATCATGCCCCTGAGCTCTGTGCAGACAAAGCTCCTTCCACAGAAGAACAAGCCCCTATAGGGCATACTCCTCACTAAGAACCTACCTTTAAGGGACAGAGAGACATTATGGATAGTTCTGCTCTTTAATATCTGTAAGTTTTATTTCTTGGATCAGAGTCTCCACCTCCTTAATATTCAGATATAAAGAAGTTCCAGAAAGTCCAGGACTGACTGTGGTTTCCTTGTTTTATTTAGTTTGGTAAATTCTCTCATCAAGTTAGATATTTAGGCTACATCGGGTCCCCACTTGTCTTACTTTTTTTTAATAAAATAATAAAGACCCAGGCCCTCAGGGGACATGCCTCCCGAGTTTCTTCTCCACCTGCTCCTGAAGCAGCTGCCCTGAGATCATGAGTTCTACATGCCACCTGCTGCCCAACCCCTACCCTGCAGGGGAGGGTCTTGTCTGGGCAGACAGGGCATGGGTTTCTCAGTGTCTGTTGTCCAGAAGTAGTCAGAAGCTTTGAGGGACACTGATGTGTCAGGATCATCTGCTTTCATGTCCCATGTGAGTATCACTGCACATGGCACAAATGCTAATGCACTTCTACTGCTCAATAAATCACACACACACACACACACACACACACGCACACACACACACAGTGATTATTTTCATGGTAATGACCCCAGTCCCCACTTCTCCCCAGTCCCAAGCACTTGGCAGGATCCACATTCTCACCCCAAAACATGAGGGACCTACTCTGAAGACAGAACAAAAGCAAACACGATTGATATATGGACTGGAGCGTGCCTGCCCTCGTGTTTTCCTGTTCATCCAGCACCTGGAACCTATAGAGTCCATGGTGAAAAGGTCAAGTCTGGTCAGAGTGTGTGGACTATGACAATGCAGTGCTCCACTGCTTCCCCCGGTTCCCTGAGTGCCCCCTGCAGCCCAGCCTCAGTTTTTCCTGCAGGCAGGTTTGTGTCTGGGCTCTTGCTGACTTCCCCTCACTGTGTTTCTTGCACAGTAATACACAGCTGTGTCCTCGGTGCTCGCAGAGCTCAGCTGCAGGGAGAACTGGTTCTTGGAGGTGTCTCTGGAGAGGAAAGCTCGGCTCTCAAAGGACGGGCTGTAGTAAGTGTTCCCAGTTTTTCCTAGCTGTCCTATCCACTCCAGCCCCTTCCCTGGGGATTGGCGGATCCAGCTCCAGTAGTAACCACTGGTGATGTAGTAACCATAGACAGCGCAGGTGACTGTGATGTTCTGTGAGGGATTCACAGTTCCTGGGCCCCACTCCTGCAGCTTCACCTGGGACCAGACACCTGGGGACAAAGGCCATCAGTCCCTGTCAGCCACATGCCATCACCACCATCCCATAGGCCCATGTCTGACTTCCAAGACACTCACCCTGGGGGGCTGTCACCAGGCACAGGAGGAGACCCAGCACTCTCATCTTCTAGGGCTGCCTTCTACAGAGACTCAGCCCTGTGTGAGGAGAGAGCTGTGAGCCCCAACAGACCAGGGTAGCATTTAACCTGGAGCTGGAAAGCAATTTGCATGAAGGGGACTCTATTTTCATAAGTGGGAAGAGAGTGAGGCCAGTATCCTTGTATGCAGTGAGAAGGATTATTTTCTTGGACTAGGTGGCATAGGTCAGGAATGGGTTAGTAGCTTGTTTACGTGTTAACTCTGAATCATGCCAAGGTACAGCAATTTCCTCTATGTTAACAGTTAAAGCTGAACTGGATGAGGGATCACACAATTTTATTTTCATAGAATATTCTAGTGGATATTATAACCAATTAATGTTATGCCCAAACATCTTCCCAAGTCCAAAGAAACTCATGAAGTACACACATCGTTTCCAGATGGGATAATCAGAGTTTCAGATGAAAAACTTCAGGTAAATTTTCATGTGAAAATATTACAAAGAACATTCTTTCCCTTGCCCTGGCTGAGACCCTTGTGCCTGCAGGTGGTGATGAATGCACAGCCTCTGTGTCAGTGAAACCCAGAATATGGGCAATGCAGTATAGGACCTGCTGCCAAGCACCGAGCTCAGACCCTAAAGCTGTCACAGGAATTCCACACACTGTGTCTTTCCTTTCATCTCAGTTCCCCAAGTGCAGTGAAGTCCCTTCCTTCAGCTGAGCTACTCAGGAATCCTCCCATTATCCTAGAGCAGAGGGGTCCTGAGACCTGGGGTCACCTTCCCCCACTAACACACAGACACTGACACTGGGCCAGCAGGTGTCCTGAGACGTGTGAGGAGGAAGGGACCTGCTTCATAGTCCTAGAAGGTCAGGTTGGAACCTGCCATCCCCATGTTCAACTGAAAGCCTGTGAAGGGATCTGGAGGCGGATGCCCTGGGAAGGGTAAACGGCACATGAAGGCCAAAGTGATAGATTGAGGGAAACCAAAGTGCACAGTAGGTGTATCTTTAATTCTATCACTAACCTGAGGAGGAACACAGGATGGGATTTAACAGACCTTTACATGTCTAAAATCAGGTTTGCTTCCCCAAGTCTCCATCTACAGAATTTTCCAACTGCAGTGCCTGTCATCTAATGGTGGACAGCACAGCCTGGTGTGCATTTCACAGACTGAGGATACCCATGTACCGAAGTGAGACTTTCTCAGGTGAAAAATGTCTCAGGAGATTCCCACTTTGTCAACAAGAAATCTGAGCGAGGGTTTGGGGCTCCAACATGGGACTGAGGTGACCTTGTCATAGAGATGGCCCCCCTCTCCTGCTGGTGTTGTGGGGACCCTGTGAGGGCCCCTGAACGCAGGGCAATGGTGACCAGCATGAAGGAAAATGAAGTAAATTCTGAAACAGAGAAGTGGTGAGAACAGCCCTTCCAGTGAGCAACACAGCATTGTACCGGGTGACACCTGTGCACACTTCTCATTGGAGCTGGTGTGATGTCTGTGATATCACATACCATAATTGACATTCACCGTGAGAATTCATTTTAAATGGACACAGTGACATTACGTACATACAAAGCCTTGGACAACCGTCATCACCTTCCAGATCCAGAAATTCTGTTTCTCTCACTGAGTCAGTGCCATTAAATAGTAACTCCCACCTTCTGGCCCCACTCCAGACACCAAATTCTGCATCTGTCCCCATGCCCTTGACCACTCCAGGTCCTCATGGATGTGGGTGCACACAGCCACTGTGATCCTGAGATGACCCATTTCTCTGGGCACTGTGTCTCCAAGGCTCATCTGTGTTCTTGCAACTGTCTTCTTCTTCATCATTTTAAAGATGATGACATTGTGTGGTGAGGATGGAGCAACTATTGTTATTCAGTGGCCTATTCTTTCTCTGGTTTCACAAGTATTAAGTTTATTTTAACAGTGTTTTTTTTTTCCTGCTGTTTTCCTGATCAAGAATGAGGGGTCAAAGCACAAGGAAGGCAGAAAACAAACTCAGATGGAGGGTGTCAACATGTGATAACATGAATAGCACAGGAATCCCCTGTGACTAGAGGCTGTGCTTAGTTAGGACAAACAGTAATGAATTCTGTAGTGTTATCATCCTCTGTCGTGGCCTCCTGTCTATCCTAGAAGCAGTAGGATCAGGACAAAGGGGAAGTAGAGACACATCCCAAGTCACAAAGGCAGGACTGATGGGGTTCTTCATCTGAAAGGAACTGGGTCCATCTCCAGGTTACACTTAGTCTGGAGTCCCTGGGACAGGGGCACACATCCTGCCCTGGGGCTCGGAGGAAATAAGAGACTGTGACAGAAAGGATATACAGGGGGAATCATGGAGGAGGGGGGCATGAGGTTCACAGAGGTGTCTCAAGTTTAGTTCATGGACAAGGACACAGCCCTGAGATGCAGGAGTGGCCCATGTGCCCAGGATTCTGGAGCCAGGGCCACAGCTCATGTGGATGCTCCATTTCCAAGTCCCTCAGGTGGAGGATCCAGTGGCCTCCTGCAGGTCTCCAATTTGTCAGGCTGGGCCCCACATGTAAGGAAGGGCAGCCAATCTCACCCAGTTCACCGGTAAAAAATATGTTCGCAGAACCATGACTGGTGTGGCCAGTTCGATTCCCATTCAGGGCAGCACATGCCTAATTTGTGGCTATTTCCCCAGTAGGGAACGTACAAGAGGCAATCTCTCCTTGTTCAATGTCCAACAATGCAGGGGAGAGGAAAGTGGCTCACTGCTCCCAGCAGTCATGGGTCCTGCCAGGGCTGATCTTTCACATGTGTGATGATCTGTGCTGTGTGAGGAAGAGGGTGAACTCAGCACATGCGTTCAGAACCGCAGGCTCCCATCGCTACACTGGAGCAGGGGAATCATCCTCAGCTGAGGCTCAGTGAGAATTTTAAAATGGTTGGTTTGTCAACAAGAAAATACAGACTGTACAGAGTTAGGGGGACAATAAGAACTGGGATGAGAAAGTAACTTCATCTGCTTAATGAGTTCTTTTTTACTTTTTATGGTTCAGGGAGGGTAAGGAATTCAAGACACATAAAAGGAAGCAGGAATTGCCCCAAGGGACAAAAGGAGGTGAAGGAATTAAGGACCTTAAGGGAAGCCCTTCCCCAAACCCTCTAGGAATCATCTTCTGAGCTGGACGTCTCCCTTTAATTGCACTGACACCCCTGGTGTCCTGATCCCCCCGTGGTGACACTGATGTCCCTTGTGCTCAGTAATGAGCCCAATGGCTTTGATGTCCCCTTCTGTCATGATCACTCCCCGGTTGTATCGATGTCCTTGGTGTCCTCAAGGATCCATGGTGACAGTGCTATCCCTTGTGCACATGAATGACCCTGACGGTCACTGATGCCCACATGTAAAGAGCAGCCCCTGCATCTCCATTATCTTGTATCCCTCCATATCTAAGGATTTGCCCACATAAAAGTATTTTCATTGAAAATATGATTGTGTTTGCCATTGCGAAAAAAAAGTGTCTAAAAGTTATGTAATGTTCATAAAAGTATCAGTAAAGAATTCTAATTACTTTTAGATGTCAGTTAAAAGCATGGTTTCTAAGACTTAAGAATTTTAATGGAAAAAAACTGTATGATTTTATAATAGAAGATATCAGGTATGAAAGCACTTGTTGAAGAATGAGAAGATGATACCTTGTTATAATGTTGGTCATTTCTGAATGAATTTTTAAAGGTTAGTTAAAAGGGAATGCGTACAACACAGAATGACTGTCTATCAAAGAAAGTTTATGAAATTAAAGTTTCGTGAAACGAAATCTTGTTTTGTAAGCAAGGGAAATTATATAGTTCAGCTGTATGACAGATTAAATTAGGTAAATTCATATAAATTTCTAAAGGAAAAAAATTGTTTAATCTTCTTCAGTCTGTTATAAGGGAAACACTGTTTTACTTTTGCCTAGAAAGAAAAGACTCTATATTTTTTAATTAGATGAATGTGTTATATTATGTTACTCAAGTGTTTAGTTATTTAAAGACACATATTGTTCATTAGAAGGAGAAAATTTTGCTAACCTGTACTATGTTCAGTACCTAAATTTTTACACTGTGTAAATAAATATCCAATAACAATATTTTTCATAATGTTATATTATATTTTGGCAAAGAATATTTGACACACTTCCCAAAGTCTAATTTTTAAGACACTTATTGTTGACCTAAAATTAGCTTTGGGTCATTCCAATAAGTTCCTGTAATGCCACATGGATCTGTATAGTGTTCTTATAAAGGAGACATTTTGAACCAACTAGGCCTACTTGATATTGTACATGGTAAATTATGTTACATAAAGCAATAGCCCTGGATGGAGTTGCTGAGGGGACTCAGTGTCGGCCTGTGAACCAAAGGGTTACTGGTTCCATTCCAAGTCAAGGCACATGCTTGGGTCAAAGGGCAGGTCCCCAGTGGGCAACCACACTTGGAAGTTTCTGTCCCTCTGTTTCTCTCTCCCTCCCCTCTCTCTAAAAATAAAGAAACAAAATCATTTTAAAAAAGTATGCTTTCATAAACAACAAAAATAAATAGCAAGGTTCTTATTACACACACATATTTTTTTATGAAAATGGATACTTAGAAATTAGAGAAAAATATCCAAGAGTCTAGAAAGTTTTGATAGGACTTTCTCTCTCCTCAGGTTCACCTGTTTGCAAGTCCTCTGTGACTATCCCTGCACATGACCATACTGCCAATGCACTTCTCCTGCTCAACAAATTACACACACGTACACACTGTGATAATTTTCATGGTGGTGAGCCCAGGTCCCACTTCTCCCTAGTTCCTAGCAGTTTATTGGGATACCCACTGTCTCCTAAACAAATGAGGGGCTTCTTTGGTGACAGAACAAAAGCAAATACGATCAATGTGAAGACTGGAGAGAGCCCAGCCTTGTGGTTTCCTGTTCTCTCAGTACCTGGAAACAGCAGAGGCCATGGTGAGAAGAACCTGGCTCATCCTGGTGAGGATCAGACCCAGGGACAATT